ATTAGATTGTGCGTGTAAGCTGTTGGGATGCTGTTGGATGCTGTTGCGAGATGCACGTTGTCACATACAGACTGTAGAGGGACAAAACATTTAGCTAATCTATCCAATCAAGACCAAGCAAATTCAGATATGAACAATCTGCGAGGTAGTAAATGCCTTTAAATCGCAAATTATCGAAAGACATCACAAGTGAGTTCACCAACAAGTGGTAATTTGTTGTCGGAAGCAGACTGTGCACAATGGCTGGTAGCAGCAGGTGATAGCTTCTCGATTGCATTGTTGTGACTATGTGTTAGCTGGGTGATTTAGGAGGTTAACGGAACTTGTTTTATCGCGTATGACAGCCTTAGTACTTGAGTGGTAAAACCTCAATAGTGAAGACAAAGGATACCGGATGACGATCGGAACCAATGGAAGAGGGAGCGCTGCGGCTCGGTTGGCTATAACAGAGAGGAAAATGAAAGCTTAGATCAAATTTTCTGTTAGGATCTGACCGTCCAAACGGTACACCGTGAGTTTTTAATCCGTTTTGAGTATTCAAAATCCAAACATGACTGATCTCCCCATCAGTTTCTTCTTGAATCTAGTTATGCACTTATGGTGATCCAGTAGCCAGCAGGATTGATTTTGCCGTGATCGGTATTACTTTAAGCCATTAAGTTGAACGTCCCTGATTAAGTGGTTACTCGGTGATAGTCTCCTCTGCGAGATCCGTTTGATAACGTCTGAGAGCATCGCGCAAACTCACCGGTAATCGCTCGCATCCGGACAGACTGTGGTCATGATCGTGTTAAGCAGTTTTCTATGATGTTCCGCGCGTTTTTTCGCGGTCCATTAGGTTAGATATTGTTATGGTTGTTGGTATCATGAATGCGCAAGTGGGTGGACCTTGCACTGATTGGGTCGAATCGGGTGGTCGTCTTGCACTGGAATCAAGCCGCACAAGCAAAAGCGAACGGCTGCTAAGGTTGTGTGCTAACCGCATACAATTTCCGTTTCGTCCGAACTTCTGAAAGTCAAAGCCTCTTGACTGCGTGGGCGCCCTCCACATACCTCGGATGTAGATCGACCATCAATAAATTTCGGACATTCTGGTGTTATTTTCAAGAATTCGCGCTTCTTGATGAAGGCCTACGTGAAAGTATGAGGAATAACGCGTCAGAAGTGTGTTTTCATAGGTTGCTGACCACTCTTCGACAGTCGCGAACCGGTTTTGCCCTTCTTGGGGCTCATTAACTGGGCGCAGTCTTCGAAATGCCGTCAACCATACTTGGAACATAGCTGAATCTCTCGTTCATGGTGTTCTAAGCACAAGGTTGACAAGAATTATGGGACTGCGCCTAGGTGATGAGCCACAAGAAGAGCGAAACCAGCCATCGAAATGTTTTCAGCAACCTTGTGAGTGGTGTAATGCGCGTCCATACAATATATCGCAATATCTCTAATGTCGTACCAACTGAAGCATGAGGCTGCCCGGTGCAGTATACTTAGTTGTTTAAGCGCATTGTAAACGAGCGATTCAGCTGAGTTTCAGGCGAGTCTCCTGCCAAAACCAAATTAGTCTTCAGATGAGTGTATGAATCGATTAGCATGTTTTCACTTACCCACCCTGTTGCATGCAGCAAGTAAATCGCCCCGATTAATGGCTCTATGTGATGGCCGATGTGGCATGAAAACATTTTAAGTTGTCTGTTTGTATACTGGGTGGGATTTTCCAGTTCGCCCATACCATGACATTATGGTAGTTAGGATCCCCAACCAAATACTTCGATTCCAAAGCCTGACAGGGAGCCAGTTGGTGTGCGTCGACATATAACCACAGTAGTACAGGTTTACCAAGGAATAAGTCACCGTGCCTGTTTCTAACCCCGTTCTGAAAGATCGGTAGACTCCGTTTGTTGGACTCCTATCCACTGGGCAACCTGTGGTGAGAAACTCCGCATGTGTTGGATTGACCTCTCTCAAGTAAAGCTGAGTAGGTCATAGGGGTACACACCGCCATACCACGGTGTGATCCAGTCTGTTCGCAAAACGCAACAAGTAAAACAGCTGAAGAACCCAACACGCCTAACTAGACTAGTCGTGTTCATCAAGTGAGACTGATCACAGATACGTAATAGTAGAAGCCTTCTACGTTGTCAAGATCCACTCGGACTTGGGGGATATTATCTTCATACAGCAGGTACTAAAACCAAACACGGACAGATTATGTTGCTGTTGACACTCAAATCCCATGTGTTTTGAATGTGTCAGTTTTGAATGATGTCAGTTGAGACATCAGCATACCCTGTTACTCTTATTTGCCTTCCGGGGACCTACCACTTCTGGTAGTCTCATTATGAACAAGCAGGTGTAGTACGCTTCCCGACATAAGTGCTTGATCATTACAGATTTTATGGTTCCGGCCATTGATTGGGATCATCATCACTAGTGTTGGCACTGATCGTCCACTGCAGTACATTGATTGGAATGTCTTCGTACGAACTCTTCGAGCTCTCCGTACAGTGACGCTTCCGTGAACTCCTTGATTTGAGGTTAGCTCTGCGTGTACACTAGCCAACGGGACCCCGACCGGACCAAAAAAGTAATACACGGCTTGATGTTCTTAGGAAGGACGTTGGCGCGATGCAATGTCCACGCAGTGGATGGCAACCTTGAGCGCTTTTTCGGGTTACTTTAAGAAATATGTAGCGGACTGACATCCATGTTATGTTTGAGGCGTATTCAAACCTGGTGTGCTGGGACGCAGACTGAAAAATATGCTTTTTCACAAGGCACATAAAGTATCCTTATAATTAGTGCATTTTTTCTTCGAAGGGAGCTCTCCAAGTTAAAAAAATTTAGATACTAGCTACTTTCGGTATACGATGCACAGTAAACCGGTTTAACTGAGAGTCATTTATCAGTGGCTGACAGCGCAGCGACCATTGCGTACATCCTCTGAGCGACTGTCCAGCTACTATAGAAGAAAAGTAACATTCTTCTGCGACACTGCTTGGATGTATGTGCTATAGATTGCCTTTGTCTGTCTAACCTTGGTAAACCTGCGTTAGCATTGCAGTGGGAGCTGAGTCGTGAGATATGCCATGAGGAAGTCATCATCAGTTGTAAGAACCACGTACTTGCCACACAGTGGTTCTAGCTGCCAACACTTTTAATCACCGATAAGTTGGGGGAAGCGGGGTATATGGCTGTGCATTGGGGGCGGTAGCTGATATAATTGATGCGTTAATACAGGGTTGTCAGTGAAGCTTTCATTGGGTGGACTGGGACGGGAGCTATGCACTGAAAGTGATAGCCCACTGAGGGCGTGACAAGACCATGTCTGACAGTGTCAAAAGCATTGATGTGTCTTGTTTCGGGGTCCCCATCCAGGGAGACGGCAATGACCAGCGCAGCTGAGTTTGTTGTTAGTGTCCTTAGTACTTCGCGTTCGAGCTACTGTTTGACCTTTCCTAGCGCGTTTTCACCCTTCGCGTGATTGTGTCAAGAGAGTTTCGAGAAAGTCGGTTAACTGGCATAAGAAGCACGCTACCAAACCAGCGCAACATATGGATCGTGATCAGTTCCGTTACGGGCGAGTTATTTATTTCGAAGGCCATTCGATATACTGTCCAGCTGCTGTAGCACCCTTCCGGTGCCTAGCTGCCATGCCACCCGAAGGAAGCACGAGGGCTGGGATACTGCCAGGTTGCCCAAGCATAGACAGGGGAAGTCGAGTGGCGGAGGTCGGATTCGAACCACGGACCTTCCAGTCAGTAAATTCTCGCTCTAACGACTTGGACCATCTCGCCCCCATTCGATATACTGCAGCATTACTGATCCGGTGTTACCACCAGACTTGGGCAACGCTCCGACGACATCGGTGGTCGAACACTGAAAGTATTTTGACGTCCTTGACGCGCAGCGACCAGGTTTCTGGCCCGTATAATAATATGGAGGGCATCCCGACATTGTAAGCTCAGTGTTGCGAGAGTCGAGTAGTTCCGGGACGAGATCAGAAGGAAGACAGAACAGAAGAATAGAATGTACGCTTCAATCGCCCAGTAACGGTAGTACAGGAGCTGAAATTATAGTGAGAATTACGAGGTGATGGTCTATACGAGGGTATGGTTTGTATAGTCATGGCATTCTTTCCGCCTTGGAGTAAGTATGTCCGTTGCAGAGAAAGTGTAAAAAGAATTAAAAAGCTGTAATAGTAACGTGGAGTCATCTACGCCTCTCTGTTGCGTAGATTATACGGGTGAGTGCGCTGCTGTCGGATAAGAATTTTCAAGTGATTTCCTGGATCTGCATTGGAATGGGATGATGAGGCATCATTAATAGGCAGGAGTTCAGTCTCTGAGCAACCACGGTGGAGTGTTGGTGGTGCGTGAGGCTCCCCTTGTTCGGCGATATGTACTGTTTCCAGTTCTGTGTCGGATATCATGTCTTTGCCTTTAGGAGCCAAGCGGCGTAAGGATACGGTTTCTTGTTTGCCATCTGGACGAACTATGTGGACTCACCGTGGATTACAAGAGACGGATTCCGCTTCCTCTACCAGAGGACCATATTCAGAAGCTGACAGACCCACTTTGATTATTCTTTCAGTCGGTAGAATGTTGATTAGCCATTTCCAGAGAGCTCTGTGTTGTAAGCCTCAGCCAAACTCGCCTTGTGCTCAGCTGATCTGTCGTAATATGTGATCGTCAAACGGTAGTACAGGGCTTCTTTCCTAGTTATTTATGTCGATCACCATTGCTTACGTTTCGAGCATCTCGCAGCATTTTCTGGTCTTGTACTGGAATCATCACCATCTTGTGTGTTGGCTTTTAGATCTTTTAACTAGCAACCCGATTTTCCGGTAGTGGCTTAGTAGTGGTCGCCTATGGTTTCGCGTCATTTACGACAACAGTAATGCTNACTTCCTGATCTAAAGAGCGGTTACTCTTCGCCTAATCAAAATTTGATTTTCCCTTCCAGACCCTCGACTCACAATGCCCGACAACTTGAGGCATGTGATGTTGCAAGTTGTCGGTCAGCTGTGTAGTCAAGTTGGTTTCGAACGAATAACCGAAACATCGTTACACCTGCTTACCGATATTATGGAACGCTACTTACAAAATTTGTGCTTGTATATTGACAAAGTTTCACGTTTGTGTAAGCGGCTGTTGTTCAACCACTTGCATTCTATGCAGCTGATGGCGTTGCCTCTCTTGAGGATGGGTTATTTGCTGTGAAGCTTCTAGGCCAGTCCCCTGGAGCACTTATTAAATTCATAGAGGATGTGGGACCATACTTCACACCTCCACCAGCCAGTCTGTGTGGACCGATTCATGGCAAGGTGTGTCTTAATATTCCACCGGAGGGACACGAAGAGCTTACCTCCCGTCCTGATTACATCCCTTCCCACCTACCATTGAATTATTGCTATTCGGAGGAAAACGGTAAGCTAGTTTTCATTTTCATTCCCTGGATTTAAGACTTTCTTGCAGGTTGTACTCCCCTTGCCCTACTGCCACCTGAATCAGGGAATTCCAATGACCACCACGTTTCCACCTGCATTGTCTCTGCATCAGTTACGACTGCACCGGTGTCCTCCTCCGCCGTGCATCCAAGTCGTGCCCTTCCTGTATGGGCAAAGCAAGTCACATACAGGCCAATTAGGGTTTCCATCGATCCAGTCACTGGCAGTCTCGTAGAACATGCTCCACCTGAAAAGCTTCCCGATTATCTATATGATGATGATTTCCATACTGTTCCCAGTAACCTACCTCGCGGGACTCGTTTTGATGTGGGCAAAACGACTTCCCGATCACCTACCCACTTACAGTCGTCTACTTCCAGACAAGGAGCAACTGATGCTGAGTGGGCTGCAGCGCTACAGGTAGTTGGGACTCGGATGTTATTCTGTATTGCTTATTCCTGTGCCATTTTTCAAATGAGTCGGTCCGTTACTGCCAGCGATCACCTGTGTCCATTCTTTGTTTTGGTATTCATTTTGTATACACATACAACCGACGGTCATAACGTACCGCATCAAAGCTCTCTTATTATCTGAACCTACGTAGCATTGGAACACATGTGCGATAGTAATCTGGATTACGATATTAAACCCTGCAACTGTCCGCGAAGTTGTTACGATCTTGCTTACAGTACGGTAATCGCTGTGAGATAACTCAGGTGCCAAGTTGCAATCTCCGGACCCGATGGCTCGTGGCTGGGTTCACCCTTGTCCGGGTTTGCATAACTTCCTAGCATTCAAGCCTTAGGGCTTCTCCCAGCGTTCTTCCCCCTACTGCGCTTCTTTCGCTTGTGCCGGAGTTGATTGTCTCGCCTCTTTTCCTTCGAACTACTCGTCAACTTTGTGATATTCGAGTCAACCTACAACTCCATCTATGGCTGTGGTGAAGTGACGAGTGAACATTCCTGATTTTGTAGTTGTCCAGTTCCTGTCCCATCTGAACTTGCTTTTGCGGGTTGAATTACTTCAGCTTCTTATTGTGGATTCTCGCTGCCTTATAAATCGACCGATAGCATGAACGACTGTTTGTATACACGTGATATAGTAGGCTTGGTTTCTTCAACCTGGTGTGGATTTTTGGCACTCATTTGAAAACGGTATAACTGGTTATCAACCTCAGCTACCAAAGGCGCCTTAGTTAATCGAATCTTCCGTTGTGCACCTTTTATCTCTTCCCGTCTACAGTAGGTCGTCATTTCTAAATTGACCCCGGAATTTTCGCGTCCGTTAATCTGAACAGCACCCCATTTCTGTCCCTCCTACTTGTCCAGGCAACTCCGAACCCCCGGCCATCCAAGCGTATTGTGTATACACCCAGCCGGTTCGACCCAAGTTCCCTTCCGTCCTATATGTCCTCGGCCAGGCGTTCTGTCGCAAAGGCGCTAAACACTGCTAATGTCAGACGATCACCCGCGAGTGTAATGCTGACCACACAGAAAGCCCGACCTCCTCCAGTAATGTATGTTTGAGTTTTCCATGGCGGTTTAATCCAGTTCTTTGTGTTTTCTTTGGCAGTTTGATTCAAGCTCGCAGTTTGCGTGCGTTTTTCGATACGATATGCTACCACTCATCATACATTTTACGCTGTTATTGCTGGACCCAACAAAGTTGTGAGACCGATGTTCATTTTATTTGTGAGCTGACGGTGTTTGCTTCATCCTGAAAGCATTGAAACATGGGTTTATATCGCGTCTTGCGTTGTTCAGGTCCATTTCCGTCTCTGTCTGCTAAATTTCATTCGTCTTTAAGTTTTCGCAAGGTAACGGTGCCATTTTTCATCTCATTTCCTTGTTTGATACCCCACAGTCGTACCTCTATCCCCAAAGCAAATAGCCTCTCAACGAATTCTGGCAAGCGAAGACGCGGGTCAATTCGACGAGCGCGAAAATGGGCCAGGAAGTCGAGCCTGTCTAAAAATCCATCGATGTTGGAGAAAGCTTCGGAATCACCTTTGGTGAGGACATCGCCCAAGGTGGATATCCCCTCTCCATCTGCTGACAAGACTCCTGCCCTTCGTACTACCGATATCCTGGAGAGCCCCAGTCCCTTTTTCATGCAGTCAGAACATTCACTGCCACCACAATCCCCAGGTAAATACCAATCCGGAAGTAGCTTTTTTGTTTTGGGTTCTGAGTTTTTCAGCCTTGTCTAGTCTCGTCTAATCATGCCATGCCTCCAGACTTTATTCGATGTGGTTTGATGGCTTGTCTTCCGGACCCGCGGTTTAACTGCCGATTCCAGATGAACGAGCCGGGTAAACCTTTGACTCTCTCAGCTGAGTTCATAAGAGGAAGTATGTTGAAAATAATTCCAATAACTTCGACCCGGTAGTGATTAATCATTAGGCATTCAGAAGAATCACGTTTAGTGGTACCCAAGCTGGGACGACTTGCTTAGGGTATACTTATGTAACCTTTCCACCAACACAACTGAGCCCTGATACCTGCTTGTGGACCGTCAGTCAAAGTGAACGGCTTAGAGATCACTTGCGAAAGCCCTCATTGACCGACCTCCTCCAGAAATGTGTATCGGAGCGTTGGTGGTCCTCAACAGTGATGAAACAATTGTTCAGTGCTTATTGATTTGTCAGCAGAGATTGACTTTAATTGTAAGACTAGTTATTAGTTGCCACCATTGACGGTGGAAGTACTCTGTTTATTTTATTGGCTCCGAAAGTTGGAACCACATCGTATCTTCCTTTTGTTGTCCCTAGGCTAGGCTTGTCAGTAGGCTATTGTTAGCTCAGGTATTTGGGTTTTGTTGCTTGATTCATCACAAAGATTACCACTTTTGTCTGCCTCCAGGCTAATGCACTGTGAAACCATGTCGTACTGGTTATACAACCTTGAACCGTGCTGAAACGTATTGCTAGGCTCAGTGAGTAATTCAACCGTCAAATTACTCCTCTGCAAGGGTGGTCACGTACCCAGCTTTCCCGTATTGCTGTTGTCCAAGAACAACAACAATTGGGAGAAGACCGGCATCTGTCGAAGGAAAACCCGACTTCACCGAGCAATTGCATATGTCACTAGACCGGATTGCGTCATCGAGATAGTGTTGCTGGTCCGATTTCCTTGTTCGCCCCCCTAATGATGTTGAAGGGGCGTGTTTAAGATCTCATATCTCACTTTCCGGTTTTCGCAGTATCTGGTCCGGTCGTTTGACGTTATCCGTTGGAATAACTGTGAACTGTATCTTTAGGCTCTATTATAGACAATGATTGGTAGACTTCTACCAGTTTGTACAAAACCATTTCAATGGGCCGTCGCTCCTCTTACTTTAATATTAGATCCATAGGAAACTTGCTTTATTAACTGTACACATCAATTTGCCAAGCACAGCAATGACGCACTACACATAATGCCGCAGATTGACCTTACTGCCACCCACGGGTCTCCTCTCGTTGGTATGTGTCCCTCTCCTTCGGATATCTTGGAATATCTGCTGTGAATTGCGTGATCAGCTCCTCCCCTGACGTGACCCTATTTCCCCTACGTTTCATCAAGTATTCTGTTTTTTCGTTCGTCCTTTTTGTAAAGTCACTGGATTTTTTGGGAGATTACGTCCAACAATGATTGACAATGGTGTGCAATCTGTCCCATTCAGTTGCCTTCCACCTATATAGATGGTATTCATGTAGAGAATGAATCCGTTTATTTGATCCGTCCTACAGCTGGTTTAGCTGTCAACGCCGTCCTGTTGACTGCGTTTAAAACTCGGATGCAGCGGTTCTTGTGTTTCCGTTTCCAAATGTACACGATGTGCTGTGCGATCTTTTGGTGGAAGGTCTCATGGTTTAGGTAAATATTCTACCTGAAACATTTCTTGTCAAAAAATTGCTGCTTATCATTGAGTTATTGACCACCGATGCCTCAGAAGCGTTTCTGGTGTCGGATGACGTCAACGAATTTCTAACGATGTGGTTAGAAAACGGGTTTTTGGTTGTGCAACAGGTGATCCAATCGCGGAAATCATCCAGCACCATCAACTGCGGTGCTTCGGCCATCTTCTACCCGTGCCGCAACACCATCTACCTGGACGAGTGTTGTTCCCCCTGCCCCCTTCAGAGTAGCGGAAATCACGAGGTGGACAACGTGCGACTTGGCAAAGTTGTGTGAAAAAGATTACGAAAAGTTTCGATGTTGTTGGTGTTTTAAGAATTCCAGGATGGCTGGAGACATTGCAGGAGATTCGGCTAGTCGATGTCAGCGGCGTTCATGCTGTCGGTTTCTTTCCAGAATGTCTGACTGAGTGCTTGGAAGTGTAGACCTCTAAGAATGCTTGCGATAAGCCTGCACGGAGTCCCTTTTCTCATCCAGTGTTTTTTTATTCTTTTCGTTCTAAACTTTAAATGTAATTAGATCAGCTTTATGGTTGTACGGTTTTGGTGCATCAGTGTCAATACTGATGTTGATGTCTCTGCTGCTACTGCTGATGATTAATGAGTGAAATGAACAGTGGTTTTTCAAACTCCTCTAAAGTGAACTACCTATTTGGTAGGTGTGTAGCGTAATGCTTCAACACAGACCTGATTCTCACTGGTTCCACTCGTATGTAATTTAGTATAAATTCCGGCGGTTTTCGTTTTGCTAGTGGTATTCCTCATTGGTTGTATAGTTCAAATGCGTAGTATTAGAATTCCGGCTGTTGTGAAACAAGACCAACTAATTGGATCTGGTGGACTGCACACATGTTTCGAACACTGCACTCTTCATCGCTTGTTTAACCGATTCTAACCCTGGTTTGCGATTTCCGGCGTGGCTTGATTGGAATTACGTACAATTTACGGTCTAACAACAATACTACCCTCTGGTATCGTCCGTTCGTTGAATTCGAAGGAATAGTGGATCACGCCAGAAATTCCACCCGTTTCACATCAATGATCCGAATCCAGTGTTGCCTTCCGTATACTGAAATGAACATGTGGTCAGTGAATTTAATTAACTCAAAGATGTGACGATCCACCCATTCCTATTTTCGCTTTTTTTTTCCAGCTTCGGATGCGACACCACCGATTCTCCAAAGGAATAGTGGATCACGCCAGAAATTCCACCCGTTTCACATCAATGATCCGAATCCAGTGTTGCCTTCCGTATACTGAAATGAACATGTGGTCAGTGAATTTAATTAACTCAAAGATGTGACGATCCACCCATTCCTATTTTCGCTTTTTTTTTCCAGCTTCGGATGCGACACCACCTGCCGATTCTCCAATGGCTGCTCTTAGAATGAATAAGACAGACTCTGCGGACCAGTTGGCTATCAGTAACGTCGATGCTAAGGTTGAGCCCTCCGTCGATGACCAGTTATCTCTGCAATCTTCACCCCTCACCAAGACACCCACCCCTGTTGTAGAAGATGAGCTTATGTTGAGCCCCAAACCGCGACCCGTTGAATCCGCAGCCGCAACGTCAACTCCAGCGCCTAGTCTAACTAAAAATCTCGACAAAAATCCAGAATCTTATTCATCCATCCCTGCAGACAACAGCCACAAACGTGGTAGACCTCGTGCTGGCAGACGTGGTCATGGAAGGAGAGTGATCACACCCAGAGTATCAATCATTAGCAGCTTATTCCAGAACCCGCTAAGACAACGGGCACCACAATCCGTATGTTCACAGGTCTACGGAACCTGCTTGCTTTAAATGTCGTTTATCCTGAATGCTATCATCATGCCGCTTTTAATAATTGTAACCCATGTGATTCATGCCTAGATCGTTTCTCCTAACGCTGCCGTTTGTATGAATTTCTAACTATCTGCATGCGATTTTGTTAGTCACTAGCTTAGAAATTATGCCGAAGAGAGTTTCGTCACGGAGATAGCGGAGTTAAGGTTCACCTTCGTCCTCGTCAGGACCAACAACAAGAAAGTAACCATCTGCTGTTAAGAGAATGTTGGTGGCTCTGTTTGTGTAGATGGCCGTTGATTCAGTAGCTGATTACAGCCAAATCCAGCAGTTCACACAGATTCGAAGTCAGGATACACATTCCGCGTAGACATCCGTTTTTCCGCAGAGTTATCCTATGCGGAAATGGGGTTTTTGATTTATCTACTAATAAAATTAGCCAGTACGAAAATTATTACCTTGTTTTTCACATTCTCTGGAGTAAGTCTGTGAGCTTTGTCCATATGTTCTTCCGTTTTGTGCTTAGTACTTTTTTTTTACTGTTGAAAACTTCAAGACGGCGGTTAATTCGCCTCACTTCATTGACTATTTTTTGCCGTTATCTCGAGGGAACTCAGCGTTTTCTTTCTATGGTCTCTGAGGCCAGGTCTCCGCTCGTGTAAAGCAGCGCTGTTTCTCTCGGAAACGTTGCTCTTCCCATTGGTTTATCTGCCATTTATTTCTACTGAAGAAAACTTCGTAGACTAAGGTCTGACTGTTCACCGTTGAGAAGGCAATCCGAGTCCATTCATTTAAGCTTACTTTCAGGAAGCCACGAAACCAATGACCCGCAACGGCGTTGTTTGTTGGGGGACTGTTGTAATCAGTGCAACGTGTATGCAAGATGCAGCCCTTTGGCGATTATTCTTGACTTCAAAACCGCACAGTGAACGGTGTTTGGACGAAAGTCTGACGAACCAACTCAGGAGTTAGGACAGGTGGCCTGTCAATACTGTAGTTTGGGCAATAGTACCTGCAAAGTGTAAATTCGCAACTATGGTGCAACCCAACGTGGAGCCTCAGCATCGGTGTCCACAGGAAGTTAGCCTTTGGATCTATTACGGTTCCAGACTCTAGTAACGGCAAAGCTCAGTGTGCTCAGCTCTCTAAGAAGAACAACCACACAACTGGACTGTTTTTGTTCCATGTCTTGACCAAATTGAAAATCTCTGGGGAGCTGCGGCAAACACAAGATTTATGCAGCACCAACGCATACCGGTTCAATGAGTTTTATCAATTCCCTAATGATGTGCTCTTTCCTTTTTTCGAACAGCGTCCTCAGCCGTTAAAGAAAATTCCAGATACCCGTTGTTCCAATCAATCGACTCCAAAGGAACCCCGCCCACATGACACCCAGATTACTGAGAAGAACAAACCTACCGCTCAAACAACTATAGAAAAAAGTAAAAAAGTCAGAAAAAGTACCACTGCCGTCAGTCGTCATGGGCGTCGTCCCACTGCACCACCGAGTTCTCGATCAAAACCACATTCCTCTACAGCGGTTTCTCTTGCATCGAATGAGCTCGAATCAAATTCTGGGCTTGATATCAGTCAAACATCTCCAGTTTCTGACACGACAGAACCAATGGTAGATGAGGTACGGGCGCGATTGCTACAAATGCCTGAAAACAGCCCAGTGCAGTCTAGGATGGAACCATTCAAAGGTGAAGATCAGCAGAGCACATTCCGTACTCTCCCCTTCACTGGTCATAACTTTGCTAAAATTCGGTCTTCCAGTCTGAAGGCATCGAATTCTCTCCCTTCATCCCCATCCTCTCTGGACTCTACCCTAAGCTCATCCAGTTCATCACTTTCCAAGGAGGAATATCCTTTAATCAACGAACGACCATCTATAAAGCTCGAACATCGAGAAGGTCTTTCAGGTAGTATTGAGCAGTTTGTACCTTCTGTTTCCACCGGTGCTCTTGCCGAGGCCAAACAGACTCGTTCGACACCTTTCAGTTCATCACCGTCATCTTCCACCTTAACCTTGTCAACTTTATCCTCCATTAGTACGGCGAAGCAACATACGACTGCCCATTCCCCAGTGTGCTCGTCGACTCTCCATCCCAGTCCGACTTCCAACTGTCCTCCACCACTTCTACCACTGGCAACTTCAGCATTTGATGTTTGTTCACAGGATGGGTTACTATCGGGTTCAGCAAATTCAGATTCATGTGCTGTGATTCCGCCACCAACTCTAGTGCCAGTAAGCTTTGTATGATTCGTATTATTCGAATCTACTTGATCGTGGTTTAACTTTTTATAACTCAACAACCCTAATCTATGTACTTCTTTTGCTTACTTTGATCCATGGTGATGAGCTTAATAACTCATCTCATACAATTCACCCAGCTTCAAGCCTGGTTCCGGTTGATAAACACCAGTTTCCCACTAATTGACTTCATGGTTTACCCAACATCCCCTAGTGCATCGTGTATCTCAGGTCTGGATGCAGTGATGAGATCTGCTTAGCCAGAATCCGTACCTGCAACGACAAGTTTGGCGCTTCTAGGAAATCATTTTTTGGCGCAAATAGTCTGCTGCAAGTATCTTTTTTGCGTAAACAGACCCCAGAAATGCATTTGTCGTTGTAGACTGCAAGTTGTGGGTAGTCAGATAGCGCAAACTTCTGTAAGTTTTCGCGTAGACAACGTTGCGAAATATGAGTAACTCGAGTTTGTCGCTTGCTTTTGTTAACTTTTTCACTGCAATCCCGCGATCCACAGATAGGTGTTTATTATTTGGCCTGGTCCAGTGACATTTAGAGTAGCGCTTTTTCTACAGCGTTAGACAGACAGTTTTGTTCATTTAGTTATCCCAACAATGCCCGAGCCATAAAGTACTCGAATACGAAGTCTAACTGGAGCTTCCAGATCCAACTCGGTTTTCTTAACTTCTTAGCTATCTTGCTCTTTGAACGCCGGTGGAGTTTGTCCGGTGTAGTTTACATTTCGGTTTTAATTGAAGCAAAACAATCTGGTGCCCCAAAGCTTGCTCAGGATCTCCCACTGATTGACGCGCTTGACTGCTGGTGCTTTCTACCCGTACTGCCATCCGTTTTCTCTAGGTTTCGGGGTTCGGTTCAACCGCACAGAAGTTCAAGGTTTCGACGTCAACTGTTTTGCCAGGAGAGCATGGTTCAAAACCTTCCTCGACCTCAAGCTCGTTGCTGCGGTTCAAACTTCGTCATGAAAGTATTGAGGCAAGGGAAATTCTCACCTCTTCGTTGTCTCCTTCTTCTTCCTCGTCTTCACTGTCTTCCTCTAGTTCAACCCCGATTCACCAAGACCCTGCAGATCGAATGGCCACAGTACCACCACACATTTTCACAACCAAACCGTCCACCGTTTCAGACTCTGGCCATGTGGACCTCGAGTGAGTGCTACTTTAGGTCGTTAATGGCTTTTGAACGCTAGTGAAAGCTGTTCTTTCACTCTGTTGCTGTTGACCTGCCTCACAAATAAGATTGGTTGGTTGGTTGATGACGAGCTAAGTAAAACTCTCCCCGCCGCCGACTCTACATTTTTAGTGCAGGTTCTAATATAGGGTCGTGTCTGACAGTTCCTCCACTCCGCACTCAAAATTTATCCCTTTTCTTGGCTTTCTCACCCAACTGCCTCGAACAGCTTATATCAGTGATTTTACCTAAGCAAATACTGCTTAATCCCCACAGTCCTTTTGCCTGTACTCCAGAGCTTTATTATCCTTTTAGTGTTCACTCAGTGTTCACGTTCATGACTTACACCTCCTGTTTTCCAGGAACACGTCACTTTCCAACGCCCCTTCTTTGATAGACCAAGGACCGTCGTCCACCAAAACTCCCAAAATGTAAGTCATTTTGCATGACGCTTTCATACTCAAACAGCACCTATGGGAATAGTAAAAATGAAAACAACCGTGGGCTATCTTCTCCCCGTCCTCTGTTTGCTCAAAATGCGCATTTTGATGGGAATTTAAGGACTATAATATTTCATGATACCAACTTCAGCAGACTATCTATTCTTTGTCATTCTTCCAGCAGATGGTGCGCACATTGTTGTTCTTCATGATCATCATTATCAACAGCAACACTACACCGTGCTTTTTCCTCGTTCTGTCCTTTTTAGTGTTATTCGTCTAGGTGGTGGAGTCAACCCGGGTGTGCTGTCTTGTACCCAGTCACCGTTTGTCCGGACATCTGAGAAACCCGTTGTAGCATCGCCAGCGCTTGTGGATACACCACCCGCTCCTCTTGCTCCACCGCCATTAAGGCTCACAATTTCAAAGGATCGACTCACCTACCGGGGTAACGATGCAGCGCAAAATGACGATGACTCTAACGCGTCGAGTAGCAGCAGCATCAGTGAGAGTCTCAACAGTAGTGGGGATGAGGACGAAGATATAATGGTAAAAGCAGATAAGCCTAAAATATCCAACCTACAGACCTCACTACCTCCGCCACCTCTTGAACGACTTCCTGATCGAACCTTGATGGGTACACGTCCGTCTCTGGATGCTTCAAGTGCGACCAGGATTTCAACCCGTCAATTATCTGAACCATTATACAAATCTGCAACTCCTGCACGAGATTCTGACAAAACCTTGGAATCGAGACGCAACGACGTGCCTCCTTTGCTGCCGCTGTTTTCGCCGGTTGTACCATCCACCGCTCCTTTCCAACTTGGACCGCCTTCGCTAACAACAATCTCCAGTGCTCCTAGCCACATGGTAGATCGACCACATGAGGGTTAGTTAGTCACCAACGACTTGTCCTGAATTTGGATATTTTCCATTCATCTCATACTCTTTTTACTATTTGATCCCTCTGAATTAGCATTATTTTTGCTGCCAAGAGTCTATTTCCTGGACCAGCTTTCGAATCAAACGATGTAGCCAGTAAAAGCAGTGTCGCAAGTTAATTCCATTTTTAGAAGTAGGGCCAATCTCTGCTGAAACGATAACGAGCGCATTTCTGTGCAGCTTATGTATAGGTATGCCGTGGGCGAGGAGTTTGCCGAATGTCGTTCCACTACTCGCTATATTGTACCCAAACATCTGATGTGTTTTGGGACAGACAGGCATCGTCCTAAAAGAATAACGTTGTCTTAATTTGAGTGTCCTTACCAGTTGTAGGCTGGCACACCCTTTTGTAGCCGAATATCTGCATCTAAGCCAATCCGCCTTGCCTCGTCAAAGGCATGTACGTACTTTGAGACAACTTCGTTGAACAACGTTATTTAGTCAAGCTGTGGATCATATTTCAATACTCAAGGGACTCTTGCCGTCTTGTGTACTAGTATGTGATGCGTGAACTTTATTGCTCTCAGTTTAAAAGCGCATGCTTTCTCACAGGACAGGCTTTTCGTCCGGAGGCAGATAGGCCGTCTTTCGTCACTTTGAACCGGTTTGCCCATCCTGTCGATAATTTGCCTTCTCGTTTTCTGTTTGTTACAATCATTTCCTTCAAAACTTTCGACACATCTCCTTTTAGCTTTCATATTTATTTTTTTGCTGCTGATGCTTCAATACATCGCTAAGGTTGAGTGAGAAATAAGCAAAAACGGCGGAATATGTGACCGTGGTTTAACCCGCTTGTGGCCACCGTTTGCGAAATATCCCTGTTGCCACCCGTAAGCCCCATAAGCGATAAATCCTATCAGGACTTGTTGCACCGCAAATGACGGCATCCTTGGTATTTGCAAAATAAGTCCAAAGCAATGTGGGCTTGGCAGTGTGGTTCATGCAAAGTTGGGATGGTCTAAGATCAGTTTGATCGGAAAACTGCTGGTCAGTTTTCGGTATCTTTTCAAGTTTTCGTTTCATCTCCAACAACATAGCCTGAAAAACCGTTTCAAAAGTTGTGCGATTCCTTGTCCAATCATGATCTCAATTCTTCGAATCTTACTCCAGTTAGAAGTCACTTTAGCAATGCGTCGTATTTTTGAAGTTTTTTTAACCATGTATCCGACACCTCGGTGGTTTCCAAGCCCTACTTGCCTCTCTATTTTTTTGTTTTCATATATCCATCTCTGTTCCCTCGGTTTAATTATTCTAACTATTACATACAAGAGTTTCTAGCCCACTCGTGCTGTTAAAGGGGATCTGTCTCCTTTCTCTTCTACGCGTTTCCCAGATAGTTTGGTTGTCTGTCACTTATCAGGCAATCACTGACAGCAAAAGCCGTTCTGTTGGTTCGCACAGTTTGGTCACAGATATAACGCCACCTCCTCTTGCTAGGATCTCTGCACATCTTAATTTCCTAGTGCATAAGAACTCCAACGCTGTGAATTCTTCCACAAATGTGACAGTTGTTCTCTTGAAGCATTTGCCCTCTGATTTCGTTTTTGACTCAGCTTCCATCCACCCTGATTTAGCCCAGTAAGAAAACCGAGGGTCAGGATTTAGGATGTCCTATTAAACGATACCCTCCAAATAGACCAGGGACTATCTCCCCCACGTTAAATGTCTCTTCGTTAAGTATCCAGTATAATCGCATCGTCCATTTACAATTAAATGGAAGACTATTATATCTTGTGTACGACTGTTCAGTGTAAGCCTCGGAATTGGTGGAGCAGAGGGAAAACTTGGTATTGGTGATCAACTGGCGTGTGCACGTCTAATTGAGGAACAATTAATTAGGAAAGCCACTCGATGCGGCATCAAATGCCCAACAAAGATATAGCTCCTGAACAAAAGTCGTGAGAAGAGTCAACCTATCAGTGTAGTGACTAACTGACTGGGTGAACGGGGTACCACATTGACCTTTTGCTGAACAGGCGACGCTCGGCTCCTGTAACATCTGAATTCTGATTTGTGTTCAGCTATCCGTGGCACTTCTTGGTATAGTTCACCAGTGTGCCCACGTTTATCACCATGTTCCAGCTTGATTTCATCACGGCGGATTTTGTTGCACTTCCGTTCTCAGAAGTACATCGGGTCAGCGGTCGGCGGGTCACCAGCGTCTCACTCGCCCTTATCGTATTCGCCCTACAAATCACTTTTGCCTATGGGGGTGACTTTAATGCGACAATCGTTTACTGATTTCATTGTGCAGCGGCATATCGAGGGCTTATTACGTAATTCAACAGATCAGATACATGCTGAAATAGCAACCATAATCAGTACGTGCGATTAGTCTGGAAAGTGTCCTTCTCTTTTGTGAGAGTCACCTGTGCTCGTAACCTAAACCGCACTGTGTGCACCTCTGAATGCCTCGAATACCAACAGTGACACGGAAACGCGGTATCGTGCCCTCATCCTCACGCCGTTAGCTAACTGCAACAAGGCCACTCTGGTGGTCCAACTTGGTCGAGTGACAACCGATGCATCCATACAACTTCAGACCAATGGAGATACCGACGAGCGTAACTCACACCGCACACAACATTGGTACTGGATGTAACTCTTGCTCCAGCGTTGCGCACCCAAAATGAGCTGCTTGTTTCTTGTACTAGATGATCAGGTCAAACGGTAATACTGTGGGCTAGTACGTGTATGGTTGTTGTGGCTGCGCGTTGGATTTAGCCGGCTACCGATGTGGTGTAGCCAATAATAGAAAAGCGCGTTCCACTATTCCTGGTGAAATACAGACACTAGCATGGTAGGTTACAGAGGGGACGAACTTGTTCCATATGAGGCTCTCCACATCATGAGACTACAGAAAGCTGTCCATAATTGTACCACTCAGCAATATGCACTACAACAGCGCGTAAAAACACTGAATTCCCGTGTTTACTAATCTTCTCCAATGACAATGAGAAAATCCGGAAAGTTGACAAGTTTTCTGCCCATTTTTACTGTGTTAACCCAGACCATATTGCCTCTGCATAGCGAGTTTCGTATAGTTGAGGTTCGCGCCAAATTGAATTTATGTCGTCGCACGTCTTCTCGTGTCAGACATAAAGCTTAATTGACTACTTCCGCAGACATTCTGACACCAAAACTATGCGATCATTCTTCCGGATAACGTGACCTGTGGGTAGCGTTATCAGTGTCTGAATGCTATTCTTAGTGACCTCATCACACAGGTACTCACTGCAGCACCATAAGTGATTCCACAGCTAGTAGAGATGAGTCCACTTCGAGCTGTTTCAAGCCCAAAATTTTGGCATGTCTAAACAAAGCATGTGGAAACTCGGTGGACCAGAAGTGGAAGGTTCTTAGCCTGGTCGAAATCATATCTCGTGCTCTATTTTTCTTAAGATATCTAAGACAATGTACCTACAAGAACAGATCATGGAAACTTCGTGAATGATTTCGGAGAAATGTCGGCTAGTTGCTCAGATAGTAGGCCTTTATTCGGGCAGAATTCTGGGAAGCATTCCAGACATATAGGTCACAAATATATATATATATATATATACGTATATAATCACATCAGAGATAAGCGCCTTTTTACGATAAATTGCGAAAAG